CCCCCCCCCCCCCCCCCCCCCGCGGGTGTCCCCCCTCCTCTCTCTGGCCAGTGCGCGTGCGACATCCTGGAGTGGGCCGGGCCTTTCATCAAGGCGTCGGTCGAGCCGGGGGGCGCATTCGAAGGCTACCGCGTCCACTGCGCGGGGCACTCTTTCGGGGGAGCCGTGGCGGCCTGCCTGGCTGGCCTGCTGGACGGCGCGATCGACGTGGAGCCATCCGGGAAGCGAGGAGGAGGAGGAGGAGGCGCAGCAGCGGGGGCACCATCAGTGGGGCAGAGGAACGGTGCGGGTTCGGGAGGGAAGAGCTCCAGAGATCTGCGAAGCGCAGGGGGCGGAAGGTCGCCGGCTTCTTCCTCGGGCGATGAGCCGAGCGAGGAGTCGAGCGAGGAGGACGGCGGCGGCGGCGCGGTACGGGTCGACGGGGCAGAACCGTGGGTCGGCATCCGCCGGGACGGGGTGACGTGCGTGACCCTAGGTTGCCCCCCGTGCCTGTCGCAGAATCTGCGTCTCCCCTTCGTGACGTCCTTCGTGCTGGGGGACGACATGGTCCCCAGAACCAGCCACGAGTCCCTGCGGCGGCTCAAGCGCAGGTTGCTGCAGGCGAGTGTTTGGGGGATGTTGTTGGTGGTGGTGGAACCTTTGCGTTTGAGAAGTCCGGGTGTGTGCCTTCGGCAGCGGGGGGGGGGTCAGGGAGGGCAAGAGACTGACGAATCATTTCCTGAGTTTCGGGGTTTTCAGGTGCACGGCGTTCACCGCGCATCTCGAAAAGGACGGAGAAACCGTTCTTCCCGTTCCTGGCGTGAATCGCCTCCAGCACTTGAGTGCTATTCGAGGGATGGCCGCATTTATTGTTTCGCATTTTTCGTATTCAAGGGCTCGGCGGCGGGAGGGTGAGTTATCCTTGCGGTGCCCTTCCCCCCGATTGTTTTTTTCGGGTCGCCGCTTCGTATTTTGGCTCGTATACTTGCCGCGTGCGCGCCCGGTAGCCATTTTTTATTGGCTCGAGCGACAGTCCAAGTTACTGAGGGTGAGCAACGGGTGGGTCATACATCTGTGCATCGCCCTCTCATCTATTTTTTCGTTCGTATCTGCTCTATGTTCTTGTGGTCCCCTGCTGCTACTACTGCCATTCCCGTCCAGGTCATGCCCAAGGGGAAGGGTTTGCTATCGCAGGGGGTGGCGTTCAGCACGAGCCTCTTCACGGACGTGGCAGGGGTGGCGATGCAGGGGGTCCGGCAGGTGGGACTCGGTTGCGCTGCGACGTGGCTGTGGTTGTTGCTGCCTTCGCCTTCTTTTTTTTTCATCCATGTGCCGAGTTTTTATGCTCCGAGGATAGGTACCACTGGAACTGAGAGACATGGGCGTCATCCCCTGAACGACCGCATATTTGGCGGCATTTGCAAATTCTATTCAGGGCGAAGGCAGCCCCACTTTTCCTTGGAGGGACGTCTGTCTGTGCACGTCTCCTCTGGCAGGCAAGGGCTTGGTCCGCCCATATGGACCCCCCGTAGTGATTTATTTTTACACGCATGTGCTGAGATTTACCTAGTCCCGCAAGCCGTTGGTGGTAGTTGTGCTTTGTTGGTGTGGTGCCCAACGTGCTAGCCGGCTGAGGCCACGACGCTAGGGGAGGACGCAAAACTCAGCTGGAGGGTGTGTTATCTTGCGCAGCGTCACACAACATCGTGAAAAAGAACCCCGTACTTTCTATCTCTCTTTCTATCGGAGGCCACTACGCCAGGGGAGGACGCAAAACTCCGCTAGGGGTTTCGCCATCGGGTGCAACCTGCGGTGCCCGTGTCGTATGCATAGCGTTCCGCAACATCGTGAAAAGTAGTCCGTACTTAATTGTTCTCCTTGTGTGTTTTCATCTTGGGGCACACAGGCTACGACGCTGGGGGAGGACGACGCCCGGCTGACAGTGCCTGGTCGGGTGTGGTTCGCCAAGCCCAGGCGGCTCAAGAACGGGGCGACGCTGAAGCGGGTGATGCGGGGCAACGTCAAGGAGGACATGCTCTGGCAGCTCCACGACATAATGCTAACCAAGAGCATGCTCTCGCACCACCGACTCGACAAGTACATCAAGATCCTCGACAGAGTCTGAACCCTTTTTCTTTTTCGCAGTCGTAGCCTTCGCAGGATTTTCCGATAAAGTGAACATGTTTGATAAAGGATGCAACCGGAGAAGTTGGGCTAGGTTAAGGGTCTGCGTAACCCCTCCCTGTCTGTTCTCTGTTCCCACATTAACTTACTATTCTCGCGAAGGCGGCATTTTTTGGGGGGTCTGCCAATGGCGGTGGATGCCGTAGAATAGTGCAGCGTTCGTCGCGTCACTAATGCTGCCGCCCGCTTCGGTCGTACCTGTTGTATCGTATGCATAGCCCGAGCATCTTTTTGGAGCTTTGCGCAACAGCAAGATACCCGAGGTTTGGGACAGCCCAAGGGCCACCAAACAAACCGACGTGCTGGCAGGAGCCAACCGAGTACCGCCGGCCGTACAGGGACGCTGTGATGTGGGCGAGGATGAAGTGCCAATTGTCGTTTCATTTTTTTTTTTTTTCGGGATACAGTGCTGTTTTTGCCCAGCCCGGTTGTTGGACGCGTTTGTCCTGAGGCGACAGGCAGCAGCTGGAGGAGAAAATATTATTTTGTTGTTCGATCGACCAGCGGCGCAACATTTGTTCTGTGGGATCAAGCCAAACCCGAACATCTTGGAGCTTGTTGCAACCGCGTTCCTGTTGAACAACATCTTGGAGCTTGTTGCAACCGCGTTCCTGTTGAACAAAGTAGCAGACACATTTTCCTAGTGCAACTCCATTTTTGTGTCGTTTCCTTCTCTCGCCCGATGCTCGGAAGCTGGACTCTCACTCACAATATCACCGCGCGCTGATGTGCAAGGGTTGTTGTCTGTGGATGGGGATGCGTGCGGGCGCTCCGTGAAAACGCGGGCGAAGAGCAACACATACATGCACACATCGGGTTTCATTGTCTTTCCTGATTTTATTTTCGCCCCGAGTCATTTTGAGCCTACAAGTGAGAACTCGCCGGCCATTTCGTGCTTGCCTGCCCCACCGTATTGCTGCTTGCACTGGTCTACCAACGCGGCGACTTCTCGTAATCTTCCAGAGAAAGGGCCAACAAGAACGCACCAAACATAGATACGAATACGAAGAACGTAGGTAGATAACGAGTGAACTTTGAAGAAGACGGAGCCGGCGAGCTTTCGTTCAAAGCAGTTGCTCTCCGCTCCAATTATCGGCATCTAGCAACGTTCTGTCTGCGGTATATACCTGGAAAGACAGCTGAAGGCAATTATATGTTATTAAAGCTCTCTTTTTCATCTTGGGTACAACACGGTCCGATCAAAACAAAGGTGCGGTTATCCTTGCACGCCCCATTCAATCCCGTCCGGGTCGTAAGCGAGACCCGTCTCAAACCAATCGAGTTTTCTCGAGACGCAGCCCTAGTAAACCTCGCGACACAATCAACGACAAAAAGTCGCAGCGCTTTCACACATCAAAAACCACTAGCTATAAGTCCGGCCCATTCCACGTGGTCACCCACGGCAGGACCACCAAGAGGCAAAACCCGGGGATGATACGAAGGTGTCCCCTACCCAACTAGCCTGCCAACTCTCTTGCTGCATCGCCAAAACAATTCCGCTAAAAACCGCCCTCGGCGTGACAAGCTTGTCACCACCATCTGGGCACGGGCCTTCCTTCGACGATGCTTCCACCCAGGACCCCCAAAAAACCTTTTTTTTCCCGTCAAAAATGAAAACGGTTTTCTTGCAAGACACCACAATAAAAACAAAAACTGGGCCTGAAACATGGTCATGCGATTGCGCCGCCGCCGCTCATTCGTCTGGCTCCCCCTCCTGCGGCCACTGCCGGTGATGCTGGCGACGATTGGGCGCCCCCCCCACCCCCCGCTGCCGTGGCGCTCCCTGCGAACATGCCCGTGAAGTTCGACATCCACGCTACGGTCTGCGCTTGTCTTGCTTCCTTCAGGTCTTGTCGCTCCTGAAAAGACGACAACAAATACGGTGTAGCGGAGGGGGGGAACACACACAAACCACACCTGAGACTGACGTCTTTTTTTCACTGGTCAGCCGGTGGTTAGCGCGGTCGATGCAAACATGTAACAAAACCACACACCAAAATGAGGCGGGAACCTCGCTGGAGAGCAGGGTTAGCATGCGTGCGAAGGTGTGCGCATCGGCGCCAAGCTCTACCGTGCTGCCTCGATGGCAGGAGTAAATCACGGGGAACGAATCGATGGCAAGAGGACATGACCGAGACTGAACGTCGTCATCGGAGATGTATCGAAGGATTTGACACCAAAAAGCATAACCCTGCATACAGCAGGGGATACCGCAGTTTTTCACTACCCTTTTCTGTCCGACCAACTTTCATACATGATTGAAGATGGATTGGTTTTATCTAGAGCAAAACAATACAATACTTGAGCGATGAGCGCGGTTTGTCCGTCGGTCGGTCGACTCTCCTGGGACAGCCTACGCGCGATAAATACCAGTTTTTGAGTTTACGAGGAAACACAACCGGAACGCGGGCAGCAGACCCTATTCCCTAACCCTAACCCTAACCTAACTTCCCCGATTGTATGCGTATTCCAATATGGTTACAGCAGTACATAATACGAAAAACCCTGCGAAGTCTACTGCTCTCCTGCCAAACACACCCACAAGCACACGCACCGGTACAACGCACATACAACAGAGTAGACGGCGGTAGAGAAGAGACCAAACATGCGTGTGCGTGAGCGTATCAGCCAGCGTAGCAAGGTAGTGAGAGTGCTACTCTTTTCCAGACTCTAATCTGTGGAAGAGATGAGTTTGATGTTTTACAACAAAAAAAAAGGAAAAGAGAGAAAGACACGCCTCCGCACCTGCTCCGAAAACTGGAGCACCGTCGCGATCGCGCGCTCCATGTGCTCGCGGGCTTCCCCCTCATCCGTCCCCAGGTACTTGAGCATCAGGTTCTTCAGATACTGAAGCTTGGGGTCCTGCAATTCTAAACTCCCCCCCCCCCCGCCGCCGGCTGCTCCTGCGCCCTGCACGTGTGCAGCGTGGTTGCACCGTAGGTTCAGGTTTTGTGAGTCCGATACATCGTGTCTCTTGACGATCGCAACTGTTGGAAGCGCTCTTGTTCTGTTGGGGCGCATCGAAGTTGATTTGCCTGGCGATCTGGAAAACCCGTGGCTTTGTTTTGATAAAAACGCCCATCTACCTACGATTTCACGGATTGAGGCTGCCCTCCCCCTCCCTAGTTTGGTATTTCTTTCTGTGCATCACGTAGGCACCCTGAACGCCCCTCCTTGACCCAGTACACGCACGACAAGACCTACAACCAGGCAAGAGCAACGAGCTAGCAGCGCTCCGACCCAAAGCCACTCGGGTATGCTACCTCTGTTTCCCCGCAAACGGGAGCTCCGTGGGGGCACAGCAGTAGATTGCCCCCTCCCCCCCCTGGTGTTTGCCATCGGGGTTGGGTTTTCGTCGCTTGGCAACGACGTTGTAAAACAAGCC